TTGGGATTACTCCGTTCCAGTTAACGTCGAGCAGCTCCACGATGTTCGCGGCGAATATCCGCATCGGTGTTTCCTCGTTGAGTGGCAAATTACGCCTCTTCAGTTGAGCTGGGTGTGGGAGGTGCAGCTCGCCCAACGATTTGCTCGTCGTATGGATCAGGTGATGCAGTGGTGAAAAGATCTGCGTCCTGGTGCATTCGCCAATTATTACAAGAAACATTTCGCGCGTCGTGACCAGGCTTCTCCCGCTGGCGGTTGCTTCATGGACGCATTTCGCGCGGCGTTATATCATCTTGGCGACCCTGGTCTCGCATCCACGGCCACTGAACTATGGATGAACTTCGAGCGTGATCATCCAGGCACTGTCGACGGAGTTTCTCGAGCTGAAGCTACGGAGTTCTTTCGAGTTCTTCAGCGCAACGATTTTCCGTTGGATTATGACCTTCTCTTCCAGAGTCCACTTGATGCTTCCTACACGGATGTGAAGCGGTTCCAGTCTTTTGTCCAATCACTGCGTGAGGGTGTGTATCTCACGAGTGTTGGTGATGGCCTCGTCGGACACTGCGTTGTTGTCCTCGCGAAGGGACCAGACGCTGCTGTCTCGGTACTGGATGGAGTCGAACCGCCTCTGAATCCGAAGCCTTTGACGAACTTGGAGTATCTCGACAAAGTCAAATGGATGGGATTGATGAAGCTGAATCCAGGGTACCGTTGCCGCCGCGGAAAACGCAAGTCCAGGCCAAATCGAAAGAAAGCTCGCTGCGAGAAGAAGAAACAGCAGAAGTTGTAGGGGATGTAATGCGAGAATACATGTAGGCTTTCGGGCCCCCCTTTACTCTTGATTTTGCTGTTCATCTTCTTCGCCGCTTCCTTCTCCTGGATGATTCGAAGTCTGCAATGAGATCTGGGACCTGTGAGAGATTCTCGATCGGCTCCCAAGTGGGTTTCTCCTCACCCACCCACTCTACAAGAAATAGGGTTCGTCTCTTGTGAGTTCGATTACCAAGAAGCCTTTGGATGAGTTGTCCAACCGTACCGTCGGCTAGAACGAGATCATGGGGCCTCGATCTCCGTGTGGCATCCTTGTATGTTTCAAAGATCCGGTATTGAATACTGGGTGAAGTCTGTTGCCTGCTTGGATGTTTAGCTCGTACACGTGGTTATGGATCCTTTTCACAACCGTGTAGGGACCTATCCACTTCGGACCAAGCTTGCTTGAGTTGGGTAAACCGGTATGTCTGCGATCCAAGTGTTTTGTACTCAAGTACACTCGATCGCCAACCTCAAAAACCTGCTCCTCTCGATTGCGGTCGTACACGTCGCGCATTCTCTCTTGTGCTTCTGCAAGCGCGTCTTGACACCGCCGAAGAATAGCGGCTTGGCGCTCGTGAAACTCAGCACCGCGCCGACGGGAACTTTGCCTCTATTCTCTGCTGCAAGCTGAAGTGTGTTGAGCGTGATGTATCCGAGATCCGCTTCGAAAGGTGCCATCTTGATGCTGCTGTTCACTGTCGAATTCATCGCAAACTCCGCGTTGGCAAGATGGATATCCCAGTCGTCTTGAACAGGTCCAACGTAGCACCGCAAATACTCCTCTAGCGTTCTGTTCATCCGCTCCGTCTGGCCGTCACCTTGCGCTCGATGAGCAACAGTCATGTTGAGAGTTGTCCCGATCGATTTAAAGACGTGTTGCCAGAACGTCGAAACAAACTTCCTGTCTCTGTCGGATACAATGCTCGTCGGCATCCCGTGCAGTTTCCATACATGGTTGATGAAGAGACGGGCAACACCATCAGCATCAACCTTTTTCGTGGTCGGAACAAAATGGCATCGCTTTGTCAGTCGGTCTACGACGACCCAGATCGAATCTACTTCCCTCTTTGTTCGTGGCAAGTCGGTGATGAAGTCCATCGACAGTGATCTCCATCGCTCGTATGGTATTCTCAGAGGCTCAAGTAGTCCTGGTGGTTTCGTTAGCCGCGGTTTGTTTCTTCGACAAGGCTCACAATCGGTGATGTACGAGTGGATTGATTTCAACATCTTGGTCCAGTACCACCGCTTAGCGAGTGTCAAGTACGTCCGCTCCGCGCCTGGATGCCCGTTGTAGTTGGCGTCATGACACTCGTGGATGATCGCTTGCCGCAACTTGACGTCGTTGGGCACCACGATACGTGGGACATCATCAGATGGAGTCTGGTACTACAGCAAATCATCGCCTTCGGTATAGCAGCGATACTTTCTATGCTGGTGCTGCTTCGCTTTCGGCTGCGAGTTGTCTGTACGCCGCTTGATAGCTGTGAAGATTGTTTGAGCTTCTCGATCCTTCGTGTAGGCTCGTTTAATCTTGGTGACCAATTCACTGTCCGTCGTCAACTCGCTGATCGCCAAACTGAAAGATGTATCGTCGAAACTGGTCACACTCAAGTCATGGAAGTACTTCGTTTCCGGTTGCAAGTCTGGTTTTCGGCTAAGCGCGTCTGCGATTCCGTTCTTCGCACCTGGGAGGTATGAAAACGTTGGCTGGTACTCCGCGAGAATATCGTACCAGCGCGCAAGACGACGATTCGCCATCCTCTGAGTAAAAAGACCTTCAAGACTCTTGTGATCTGTCTCCACGATTAGTGGTTTGTCCAAGCAGTAAATTCGGAAAGCCGCTAGAGCGTGGACGATAGCTAGAAGCTCTTGCTGCTGCATCGGATAGTTGAGTTCCGCGGACTTCATCTTCTTACTGGTGTAAGCTATGGCCATCGACAACTTGGAACAGGACTCCTCCGACAGCAAACTTGCTTGCATCCGTGCGCAAATGTATAGGTTGATTGAAGTCGGGCAAGTGCAGCACTGGTGGATTGCACAGCCGTCGTTTCAGTTCCTTGAAATTCTTCGACTGCTCTTCGTCGAACTGAATCTTCGCATTGCGCTTGGACTTTTGAGCAGAGTAAACATACTGGCTGTCAGCTTCGCGTAGTCTGGGCAGAACCGTTGAACGTATCCGGTCAAACCAAGGAAGCTGTGAAGCTCCTCTTGTGTTCTTGGTATCGGCCAGTCCTTGATAGTCTGCACCTTGTCTGGATCCATCCGTACGCCGCC